AGCCGACGTTAGTCAAGCTTTAGTTTGAAACGGATCCGCTTCCACTATCGTCTTCAGTTCATCATTATCAACCTTATTCCATGAGGTTCATTTGGAAGGTCATAATTTCCTGAACGAAAGCTATCGAACTAATAATAACGCACAGTTCTTTTATTAGTCGTTAAACTGTTTCCCGTTACCATCCACACCATCTGGATGATTGGCGGTCCACCACTGTGCACAACTTCCTTGTGGAATCGATTGCCATCGGCGATTTTTCCGGACCCATACGACTTAGGGACCTTCAAGAAAAGTACCCACTCCTTTTTAAAAGGCCGGCAACGCATCTGCAATTCCCTTGGTTCCCCTGGTGTTGCAGTTGTTCATGGGCGGCGGTAGTCACTTACCATCAGGTGAGCCGCATGCTCGTTTGCCCCCTCTCCTCTAAAAAAAAAAACTGATATTGCAAAAAATAATAGGTACCCCAAAAAACAAACTTAGTTTGAAAAATAAAGAAATATTTAGATTGAAAGATGAAGTGTTCTGTGTGAATGAAAATATAATGCAATTTCTTTTTTAATATATTTATATGGCGACTAGAGTGAAAGATCTATAAATTATTCTTCATTTATATGTGAAGTTAGAAGTTAGCATATTTTTGTAGTAGATGTTTTATTTTTGCGCAAAAATGCGAAGCGATGTAGTACTTTATTGTCTTACTAAATCAAAAGATAAACACGATCCACTCAACTTAAATCACTTCCACCAGCTTTATATCGCTCTTATATAATAAAAAGTACACCAATAGCAAGAGATTTCAATTATTTTTTTTAATATTTATTTTTAGAGGGTTTTATAAAACCATTATAATGCCACCCTCATTGTATTTACATTTTTTTTTATCTTCTTTTAAGTCCAACTTGGACCATTTTGTACAACATTCTGGCTTCCCTAGACAATGGAGAAGCCAGAATACTGTTACAAAATCCGATATCTAATCGATTTACACTATATTTACTAGAAAAATTTACTCTTTCGGCATCGATACGAACGCACTCCACCAAAATGTGCACTACATCTCAATTTGGCTCTCTAATTGGCCACATTCAACACAGTTAGGGGATTCGACCTTTCCCATCAAAAATGCAAAGCTCTTCATTGGTATGTGTCCCGATCGCAGCCTTAGAGCTGTAATAATATCTATCTAATATATTGCTTTTGTTAGAGATCTCTCATTAAATTATTCCTTCCTTCCTTGAGATTTCAATTAATACTTCTGACATAGTTGTAAGATTTTATTTCGTATATTATTAAAAAAAAGTTAAATGAAAATAATTTCACTTGGATGTCAGTTAGTCGGTATGATGCTTGTGACATATATGTATGTATGACAAGATATCCTTCGAAAAACAGGTTCCGTTATCGTTTAGATTTTTTCTTTTATTATTTCACAATTTCTTTCGGTATAACAAAATACGCATCACCGGTATTAAGCTATCAAAAAAATCGTGTTAATTAAACAGAAACAATTTTTGGTAGCTTTAAAGGAAATCGTGTTTCGATAATTTGTACAAGTAAATTGGTTATTCAAAATATTACATTAAGCGTTCGAGGTGTGAACTTTTGGATTTTCCAATTTTTTTTATAGGGTGGATGCCCCTAAAACCAGCCCTGCCCCTAATAGGCAGCCTTTTCACCTTTTACCTTCATTAATAAAGTTTCTAGTGGTCTTATCATTTCAACAGTGGTAGAGCCACGCGGCAGCTTTTGCTGTCGCACGGATGGGCCGGCTCGAACCGGGGTGGTACCACGACCTCACAGAAAACCAGCGTGAAGTAGAGATTTACCTCTGCGTTTCGCTTGGTGAGTGCAGGTGGCCGGAGGCCCTTTTTACTGGAAATGAGGCATTCCATCTTAGTCCTTACGGGTGACAACGCATCTGCATCTTGAGTCTTTATTGAGGATAGATGTAGATGTCTATGGGCCGCAGCAGCCACTTACCATCAGGTGGACTGTGTGCTCGTTTTTCACCCTTATTCTATAAAAAAAAAAAAAATCTATAAATATTGTCAATTAAAAAAATATTCGTCACAAGAGAAAAGTATTAAATTTAATACTAAAACAATCAGGCAAATTTTTGGATAAATAACCTATTGCTTTAAACCAAGATTTTAAAAATATTGTATTCTAATTAAAATAATACAAATTTATAAAGTTGAAATTGGCACTAAAAGGCTGTTAATAGGGGCATCCACCGTAATACATCAGTAAAAATAGTACCTACGTTATATATAAATTAAAACTAAAATGTAGTCAAAGAGAAGAATGATATAAAATCGTTATTGCGAGCATAACATACAAAGTTGTTCAGAAAGTTGACTGACGTCACCGAGCCGGTATCTCTCCCTCCTCTTGTTCCCCGCATTCTCTATTACTGTTCGCCTGGGTTCGCGCCGTCGCTGTCGCTCTACTGCCAGCGACCATGCTTTACACACAGACGCAGTAAAATCGGTTTCATACGGAAACGGGTACGGCGGGCGCGGCCATGTTGTAAGGGTAAACTTGGCAACGTCGCACTACACATCGACCGATTTAATCATTCTTTGGTGTAGCTGCTAAGTTTCTCGTTATCTATTTGTCCACGTAATACTTTAAACATTGATCGACTGTGAGCAGGGTTTATTTTTTATGTAGGGGCTAATGGTAAACTAATCTTAAAGTTAAAGGTCAATTTTATGAATATTGAGATTGATTATTGCACTTTAACAATAACAATATTTTTAGTCCTATTTTTGTAGAGCGTTCGATAGTTGACGTTATTCAAGATGCTGACAGTTATCATATTTACTCTTATCGAAATGTTACATAGGCATGATAATATGTTGTAAGCTACACATTTTCAACTTTTATTACTTACAAAAAGTGTAAATTCAGTGAAAAATAAGTTTGAAAAGTGTTACCTACCTTATTATTATTGTAACATCTGATCTGCATCAGATTATAAGTATCTTGAAAATTTCCGTTGTGAGGAAGATTCGCCTTTGTTACACAGGCGGATTGACGATCACAGCATGTACTAGACATGGAACGAGTAGTGATTCGCCAAGTTCTCGGCCACCGGGTACTCGGCCTAGATTAGGCCGAGTACTCCGCCGAATACTACTCGGCTTTAAAAAAACGCGGTAGCGGGCGGCGTGCGGTTATTCCCCTTACAAACTAGACCCAAATAGGGCCGAAAAACTAGTGTTTTTGCATCACAATCTTTCTCTCTTAAATTTTAAATATTAGTAATAATAATTTCTATTATAGATTCTTATGTACGTTCTAAATATTTCTGCTACTTCTCATGTTCCTGATGTTTTAATGTGTCTAATATAATAATAACGATAAAAACTGGCTTTTTGTCTATTTTTCTCTGGAATATAATTACGGCCGTTAATACTCAGTGCTCGGCCGAACCCTAAAAATAGGCCAAATCCGCCGAGTAACGAATCCATTTATCATGTTTCATTTACAAATCTAATAAATTAATAACCTAATCAATTAGGCAAAATGTTATTGTTCAAAATGCCAAACCAAATTTCGTCACCAAAACAAAAAGTATAAAAAAAGTACTCGACTGGTTTTAAAACCTAGGTGAGTTGCCTTTAAAGCTTGCATAATTTTATCTAATTTAAATGATAATTTTTAATGTTTCATCCTCATAACTTTTTATAGAATTCGCAGACAGTTATAAGTGACCTTTATAAAATTGCGCGGTAGATAAATGGACCGTAATGTTATAAAGAAAAATACTTAGCGACTGGTAGGTAAAACAAGTCCAACAAAGCGGCAACGGCGCACGTTGTTCAATACCTTCATAAGAGCGGCAACGTCGCTTTTTTTGTTTTGCCGCGTCATGGAAACGCTCGTCGTGATCGGTGCGGCAGACCGGCCACTCGCCCGGCTTGTTTTTATGAATACGTTTGGAGTAGATAGATAATTATTATTATAAATATTATTAATTTTCATTATGTACATTTGAAATAGTAAAGTAACCAGCTGCTACATGAACACGAAGTACTGAAATATAGTTAGCTTTACATGAAAAACCTTTTAAGACAATTATTATACCTCTAATAAGCTTATGATCTTTGATTTATAATTCTCACGTGTATGTACATGTGTTAGTACTTTTAATAGCTTTTAGTTATTTTATACATAGCACGCAAAGTGAATACAGTGTATACAGTAAATTCTTAATACTTAGGCTACCTACCGAATAAGGCTGATTCTACGCGCCCTTTGAAATCGTGATTGTGAATGTGGTTTAATAATATAATATTTTATATTTAACTTTTAATGAACCGGATATGCCTAGGGCGAAATAAGCTCACGTGTGATTTTTGGTGTCAAATTAAAATTTACTTCAATTTGCTGAGCAATTACTTTATTTTAAATAAGTGAATAATAAGTTTATATAATATAAAATAAAAAATAGTTGCAACTACATGCGAGCATATTATCTACAGTGGATGCATAAATTGCGATGAATACAATTTTACGCTACGCTGGAATTCGACCCCTAAACAGTAAGCAAGCTATAGAAGACAAGTTGGAGTTAAAACACGACTTGAGTGTGTTTTATAGTAGAGAACCAGAATTATATAGCACAATGAAATAAAATCAAGCTGGAATGACAATGAATACTAGCTAGGATAAATAATGTGAAACTTATTTCTGCAAAATAACAATGAGGAGCTGGTGGACTATAGTTTTGCGGTATTTGGGAAGGACTACGGATAGCAAATAAACTGAGTTAGCTCGAAATTTATTATTCATTTACTGTTATTTAATTTATTCCTATTATATTTTTTTCTTTGAATATAATTAATTATATTAGGCTGTTTTACTTGTTATACTTCTCGTCTTATTTTATATCAACTAAAGATTTACACCATCTCCTCTTTAAGTTATTTTTCTTCGTACTAAAATTTAACGTTACTTGTTTGTATTATAAAACTCAGTTTATTTCTTTGCAGCTATGGCCGAGTCCAAAATGTCAAGTTATTGGGTAGAATGGAAACCGCGAACACAGGTGCAAACGGAACAACTGTTACCGGTTTTTGCGCTACAGTCGCCTTTATGGACATCAAGTCTGCTTCAAAGGCGCACAATGCCGAGCACGTGCTGGACGAGAGAACACTCACCACGGAATACTACGAGCCAGCAGCGATACCATCGGCCGCGGGCGCGCCTTCGGCTGGCTCCTCGCCCGCCGGTTCTGGCTATTCAGGTTCTTCGTCCTCCGTGAACTCGGCACCTGCACCTGTTAACATCACGCGCTACCATCTGTCGTAAGTATTTTTAAAGTTTAAACAAAGTAAAGCGAAAATCTGCACGTATCATGTTTTACTTTTAAATAGTTTTTAAAATGTTTATTCAAATGACAACCGTGACGTTTTATGCACTTTATTTTTAAAAAATACGCATATTTTAATCTGTGGTGTACAAATGAACAAAACTATTAGACGTTATTGTCTGTTGTTTTTATTTGCTTGGTAAGTTATTTATATGGTCTACCTAAGTTTGCATGAGAACTTTAATTAATTTCTCCCTAAAGATACAAATAAACCTTTGTAATTTTTTTTATTTAATTATTTATTTTAAAAGCAGAAAAAATTGAATGAAAATAAAAATCTTCATTTTAGCACTTTTTATTATTTTGGGTTTGATATTATTTGTCTCCGTAACTCCCTATAGCGCTTTACTCCCAAATACAATGTGTAATCAATGATATCATAATTTATATTAAAAAAAATAGTCATTAGTATATAACTAAAAATAAAATAAGAAACAATAAAATTCTAGGATTTTGTTCAGTATAAAGTAATTATTATATTATATATAGTTTTGTTAACAGTTAGTGCGATATGAATGCTTTAATAACTTTGATTTAACAAAAAAGTGCATAAAATATACTTGTATTTGTTTAAATTTAAGACTTATTATAAAAACATTTTTTTAAATCTAAATTGACGAATATTTTTCATATTGAGGGTTGACTATGCGAATGCGAATGCCAAAAGGCATTATGTACGTCCTTTGTTATATATATATATATATATATATATATATATATATATATATATATATATATATATATATATATATATATATATAATGTTATGTAAATGATACATGCAGATACTTAACTATTTTTACTTAACTGCAACTTGCCCAAAATGACGGCAATGATAGCTACATATATGTATGTTTGTAGCCTCGTCTTCATTTTCTCAAATATGATTCCCTACTATGTTGGGCGTAATGATTTTGAGAAAAAACATTTATGCGCTTTCTGCTTAAATTACTGTGGTAATAATAATAATTTTCTAGATTAGCATTTAGCATGTTCGTCAATGTCCTCGCACAAATAAATATTCGGTGCCGCCGCCGCCGCCTATACACAGTGAGACCAGCCAGAATGTTAAGGATTGCAGTGTAACTTGGATTGCAGTGGGAGCCAGACTTAAAACAGTGTCAGTGAAGTGATTAAAAGTGCAAGTGTCCGATGAATCGTGCTGTGAAAACTGTGTCGTGATTTTTTAACGATCTGAAAAGTGAAAGAACTTACCCTTAAATGGATTTATCGGCGATCAATCCGATTATAAAAATCACTGTGGCTGGCGGCGGTCCCAACTTCGTTTTATTGCACCACTTATTTCTAACGCTACATATTTGTATTGTTGTGTGCATCTGTCATAACAAATATTAACGTACCTAAGTGATAACTATACTTTAATGTTATTATAATTTTACATTTAATATGAAAAGCATAAGGTTTTATTCCTATAAAATTTAAGATAAAAACCTTCTTGTGAACGAAAATCTCTTCAATTTAGTACATAAATTAAGAAACAACTATTTACTGTTACAAACATAATATACCTGACCCTATTTTACTACCAAAACTCTGATATTAACGATGATATTTATACTGGAGTACTTAAACTCGAGATTTAAATTTTAAACTTTTTTCACCCTTTGCTCTAAGATAAATATACTCTAGGTAATTTAGTCTGTGATGTGTAATACTAATTAAGGATTTAGGTTGTTTTGAAAATTTGAGGTAAAATCTAAAATAGTTTAAAGTTAACTAATTAGTAAATATTGCATTGCAAACATTTAATAAGTGCGTTTTCATATTTATTAATATTATATTAATTCGGCTTATCATCAATTTTCATATGTAAATATATTTTATTGCAGAAGCCATTTCAAACGCAACCTCGTAATAAATAGTAATATAATTATGGCTATCTATTCGAATGCAACTGTGTCAAAATTTCAAAGCAATCGGTGAACAACTTTGAGATATTCAAGATTTTCGATAAAAGATTTACATTTTAAAATACCGAGTGACTCATATTTATTTCTTTTGTGTTTAAATTACTGCGATGTACCTCTGTGCATGAGTTATGTTGTTAAACTACCACTACTGAAAGGATAATGAAAAGACAATAATTGAATCAATCAGCTGTTCTATAGATGCCATTATTATACCACAATAGTGCTTTATTCGTTCGAATTTGGATGTATCGGGATTTCTCCTAGAGTAACTTTATTATTTTGAGGAGCTTTCAGATTACATTTTAAATTGTATTCATATCTCTAGGTATTTATGTGCGTATTAAGTGTATATTTGGTAATTAAAAATAAGACTCTTTGTGTTTGTACTGAAACTTATAATTAATGATGCTGAATAAGAGTGAAGGGAGTGCCATAAAATTGAGGAGACTCGACAAAGGGTTTTTTAGCGGCAACACGCAAACCTGTATATTCTGAGGGTTAAAGTTGACTAGATTTAGTCGTCGTTAATTTGAAACTGTTTAAAACTCAAGTGGAGTACCAGAACAAACTTGTTCCTGAATTTTTTCTTGTTGTATTTTTTTATTTTTAAGTAATTGATTGTTTTTTGTTTTGTAATAGGTAAATTACAACCGTCTGGTATCACGCTTTCCTTTCTTTTCTATGCAATTCCATAATATACAACCCGCACAAATGTTTCTTTCCGTAACGTAAGTAATTTTAAAACTTAATATTTTAATAACTATAACCAAAAGCACTGGTTATCGATAGGGTTTAAGTATCAAAATTACTAAAGATTCTATTCGAGATTATTCGCTAGGAAAAAATATTTAAGTTTTATTTTCTGTAATCACCGGAGTCTTCCCTGCAGGGCTAGGATGGGCAGGAGACAATTTTATCCCCGAGGAATGGAGAAAATGTTTATCCGTTCGCTTAGTTTTATCCACCCTTCGAGCATGGGCACACTGGTGGATATAATATCCACAGTAGATAAAATGGGAGATAGACTAAGACTTAGATTTTTGTATGAATGTAAACTTAAACCCACGTCCAATGAACTAGGATAAAATTGTCCCTTTCAAATGCCAAAAAAGCATAATTTTTTTATATTTTATTTGACTCCATGCTACGGACGGGGGCGTTATGTCAAACGGGGATATACTTCTCCCCGTCGTCGTGCTTTGGCATAAGGACAAGATAATTTTTGTGTCCCCAGCCCATGCTAGCCGTGCTGTGGGGGTATATTGAACAATGCCGCTTACAACAATCGTAAAATACTAAGACCGGTGATGGGGAGCACCGTCAAAGTACGAGACGTCGGTGTTGCGGTAACCAATCTGCCTGTCTGCCAAGCGTGGCAATTATGGCAAACCCTTTACAGGGGGATGATGAAGTTCTATAACTGATTGAAAACATCCATATGCCTTAGAGCGATGCGAGCTTAGGGAGATGAAATAATATCCATGTCCCTCGCACTTTTTATTATTTTGCCATGAATGAAATATTATTTTATTTTAAATGACGCTTCATTTTTAGACGCTAATAATTCATTTATTTGTATCTGTTAATCAATAATATAATACGTTTATCAATAATAATACAATAAGAAAGGAACTTCGTTCCAATCGATTTTTCCACGCCACTCACGGATGTTTTTTTTTATGTTTACTAGTAGCGGCATGCTCCTTTAAAGCAGACAGCTAAAGACAGCCGGGATGCCAATTTGGATCTGATTATCTTTAGCTTTGAAGATCCACGATGAAAGTAAAGTCCGCTATATACGGCCTTTCATATTTTCGCTTCAGCATCACCACCAATAATTACTATCGTCGACGAAACATCATTAACAAAATATCGCTTACAAGATATTATCACCACGAAATCTAATGCGATAACAAACTAAAGTACGTCTCTTCTATGACTGATTGAAATATTAACCATTAACTCGTGTTTAAGAATACTCGTTTTAAGATTATCAAATTTACACTTATACTTTAAAGTTGTATATTGAATGTGTTACAAATATAACACTAAAAGTACAGGGAAATCCCCCACATGCTGGCGAAGTACATAGGGTTGCCATTTTCGGCATTTTAAGTTGCCATAATGAAATCTATTTTTAATACCCGAATAGTGCCAAATACTGCCAGGTTTTATAAAACGTCAACCGATCATGCCAGAGGCTAAAACAAGAGGCCAATCCTGCCAAAATGGCAGGAACCTGCCACATATGACCACACTGGCTAGCGCATTCTAGACGAGTGAATTTTAAAGTTTTTTAACACTGTTTACGTAAATAGATTTTGTAAATACTTGTTGAAATAGTTTTGTTTAGTGTTTGTCTTTATCTCCGAAACCGATAAATGCTCAACCATATGCTGTGATTACCAAAAACAGATCCCAAATTCCGACCAAGCCTACCCCGCAGGAACCGTCAATAATTATTAAATCCAGACTTTGACCCAGAAGTTAAAGACGCCCTGGACACCTGGAAAATGACAAATCTATTTGATGAATTATAATGACAAAACGTCGTTTCTACTTTAATTTTTGTGTGGGTGGGTGCTTAATGAGCAAATAAAAGAATTCAGATTTATCGTTTTTTATTTTACTGAATGATAATGAAAGGTAAATTTATTTCATATTTAATTTCTTTTTGTTAGGTAGGTAGGTATGGTCAACCATGAAATTGTACGGAATGTGTGCAAATCTATACATAACTACACAGGTATATCCTTTGCGAAAAAAGAATTAAGTAATAATTTAACTACAGAAGTACCTAAGTACCTAATTACAGAACTTATTTGAAATTTACTTCACTATTGAATGTGAAGAAATTTACTTAACTATTCGCACGAATACGCAAACCCACAAGTGTAGGACGACATTTGCAAATGATTATGCTAAGTTTTTGCTGCATTCGCGGTTTTCCAAGCTGTGTCGGGTTTTTAACGGACATCAAAGTGTGCGAACATCGATCCTTCGC